CTTTTAGTGATCAGCAAGTATTGGTGACTCACTAAGGTTTACAAACCAAAGCATCACATTCTGATGCTGGACTGAACTCGTTTGTAAGTAAAGATTACGTCCTAACAAGGAAACTAGCATTATTAATGCTATCCTAGCAATGTTCTTCATTTTATTTTAATTGACTGGAAATCCCAATCATTAGCGATATAAATATATAAAATTTCTACTTTTTAGAGACAGGACTTTTTAGGAAAGAGTAACAAGGATTCAAAAGAGCTGGTTAGGTCTCTCTTTGGGTCTCTGTGACTTCAATTGCAATAGGAGCTTATTATTAACCTTTTTATTCCACTGACCCATGTACCTTAAGTTTACTGTTTTGCCTACTGTGTGTTCAGATTTATCTCCACTGCAGAAACAAGTCTTGCTTCATAAGCGTGTGAGGTGATATTCCACAAAGCACGTACAGACTGCTGCAACAAGCCATAATGCTGATCCAACCACCACTGGCTGTCATGACCTTCCCAGGACCAATTCTCAGCTCTTTCCCTTAGGAAAGCATAGTGGGATCCTCTGGAGCAGCTGATATGGTTATGGGAGCATGTGGTGATAGAGGCTTATAATGTTATGAAGGATTATATGATTAGGGGGGTCCCTGTGGTTATGGGGGCCCATACAGTTAGAGGGGGTTCTATGGTAACAGGGGCCCATATGGTTGTGGAGGTTATATGGACACAGAGGGCCATGGAAACTGTGGGCTGTGTTAAACCCAGCAGGCATATCCATGGAAAAAGGAAGAACAAGGAAATGAATGGTAAGGTACAGATTCACCTCTCGGCATATAGGCCTGGCTTTAAGAAGTGTTGACTACATTGAACTCTGTGTGAAATAATGAGAGAGTTGCATTTAATCAGTACTTCTGCAAACATTCCTAATGTTTCCCCATGTTCCACTTGATATGTCTTTCTTCTAATGCCTTCATGGCTATTTGCTTCCTCTATTATCAGCACAGTGGGCCTGATTCTCAACTACCCTATGGGTTTTTACACCACTCTGTAAAGTGCAAATGGAGCAGGCACCTTAAGGTGTATGTTACCTACATTTACATTAACTTTAATGTTTCTTTCCAATGCCAGAGGCATGTCAAAAGACGTCAGTGTCAATGAGAATTAGGCTGTGTTACCTCCTATCCATGTAACAGAGGGATATGCATGTTAGTCTGAATCTGTAAAAAGCAACAGAGGGTCCTGTGGCACCTTTAAGACTAACAGAAGTATTGGAGCATAAGCTTTTGTGGGTGAATGCCCACTTCATCCTATCCATGAATATGTACCATTTCTTTCTGCCTTTTAACTTTCTAACTGCAGCTGCACAACGGAGAAGGTTTTTGAGTGTCTGCTTTTATTGTTTTGTTTTAGTTGAGACTGACCAGATTGAAACAAGTAATTCAAAATGGTGGGAAATAACCTTGATTGTCAAACTTTACAGCTGCAATAAAGAAGACAGATAACCATGTGAGGAAATGCATCACTTTGGAGCTGGTGATAGGATGCAGCCCTTCATGCAACCATGGAAATAGTCTTGCTACTCTGCTTTCTTTATTCTTAATTTTTTGATAATTTTCTACTCCCCTTTATTTCCAGTTCAAAAATATACCACATATTATTGGTCTTCTGGTTTTAATTGATCTTCCAGTTTCACCAAAGGCTTACACACCACTTGGTCAAAAGTGTTCTCCAGTTTTGGATACTTCCAGGTTTGGTGCACATCTCAGGAAAGATTGTGGCCTGTTATCAAAAAATGTTGAGTATGAACAGCTCCCGTTAACTTCAGTGGGACTTCTGAGTCCTCAGCACTTCAGAAAAATAGGCCTGGAGCCTCTCCTGTCAGGCCTCTAAAATTAATGGCTCCTTTGGAAAGAGGTTGGCTTAGCTGTATCCAGAAGTGAGATCACTGGAATATTTGCTGATTTGTTCTGTTAGGTCTGAAGTCTTGCATGAAATATTGTCACTGGAATTTAAAGGATCAGAGTAGCTAGGCCTTCCAATTTAAAAACAAAAACAAAAAACTAAAAGGAACATAGATTATATTAGGGCATTTGTTCTCAATGAAGCTTGTGAGCTGGGGGTGAAAGGCTCATTGCTAATGGCAAAAGGTTTATTCCTCAGCAGTTCAGGTCTTTAATGCTTTTAAATTCATCATTGATCCTGGTGTATCTCAAAGGAGGGGGATGAGTTGAGACATCTCTCTTGGTGACATGGACAGAATGGTGCTTGTGGTACACTAGAGCAAATGGAGACTGAGATGGATTTACTATATTTCTTCAAGTTTGGCAAGGATATAAACTCTTGTGCTTCAGGGTATCATCCAATAATGGGGATAGATCTGATTGATGCACGGGGAATAGTGAAAAAGGTCCTCTAGGGACAGGTGATCCCAACCTGTGTTCGGCTGGATTTCTTGCACCTCTCTGTGAAGCTTCTGGTACTGACCACAGTGGGGAAGAGGCCTGATCTTCTGTAGCAATGCCTACGTTCTTCCATTCCAAGGAGGAATCCATAGGTATGGTCTGATATTGAAGACTAGAGCTGGATTGCTCTTAAACAAAATCCATGGCCAGACAGCTAAATCTCCCCTCACCAACTGAGTATTCTGTCATGTCCTTAAAGAGGCAGGATGGTCTGGATAAATTTTTCCTTGTGTGTCCTCAAATCAAAAATTTGATTAGTGGAATATGTTCATCTTCTGGGACCTGAGAGTCACAAAAATGTTGAAGATTTAGTGGAAAATGTAATCTTTTTATCTGCAGTTCCTGCAATATCAAGTCAGGGGATTTTATATAAGAATGGTAATATGGAGTGCAGTGTCAGTTACCTCAAACCATTAGATTCTTGTACTGAATTAATGGTTTGTGCATTAATCTCTTCATATCACACATGAGATTCCTGACTCCTGCAGAAGACTTTGGAGTAGTGTCATTTGTCTACATGGTCAGAACAGACTCAGGTGTGTTTTCAAGACCCTTTCCTAACAGAAAGCTTTTTAGCCATAAGTAGAATGATTTTTAAAGTAGAAAATACACCCCCAACAGAATTTCTTTTAATCTGAACTGCATAAAATGCCTTCCTTCAATGTTAAGGCACAGAACATCATTGAAGTCTATGGAATTGTGCTGATATACACTGGCTCAGCATCTGCCCCTTGAGTTTTACAAAGGAATATTCGTTTGTTAAAGAAAGGGAAAGGCAAAGCTTTTTTGAATAAAAACCAAACAGCCCCAAATTCAGAGGCTATGAATAATGAACTGATTATTGGAATGACATCAGAAACTTTAACATGCATTTGTAAAGTTAATGGTATCAGCCAGCCACAGGTGGCACTGTAGCACCGACAGACCCCGGTCGTCAGTGGGCGAGATCGAACCTGGGATCTCTGAAGCTTAGTGCATGAGCCTCTACTGCATGAGCTAAAAGATACCTGGCCCTTAGAAATTAATGAGTTTGCTACAGCATTGGCTAAGTGGTCTCAGTGCCACTACAGAGGACCGAACACAACACGCAGGAGGTGTGTGGGTTACAGTATCATCTTTCTACAGCCATTATGGTAGCAGGCTTCAATGAAACCTGACATGACCTTCCAAGAACTAACGATCAGCAAGACATTTCTTTGATCTTGCCCTTTCTAACAAACCTATAGCAACAGGTATATTTATATTTTAAGATGCACCCCCACAGACCAAGACACTTCACTGCACATGCTTCTTCCTTTAGGGAGAGGAATGAGAGAATAAGCACTACGTGAGAGATGAGTCACGTGCCTTAATGCACTGCTGGAAGGCGCTCAGATACTATAGTGGTGAGCGTGTTATAAAAACCTCTATCGAATAGACTTTACAGAGCTCCATCAGACTCCCAAGTCTTTGCCCCAGGGTGAGATACAACACTTTGTTTAGGCTCGCCAATAACTATGAGCTCTTGGATTCCTTCTGCTGACCTGTCTCCTGGCTGGCCTGCCTCTGGTGACAGTTCCATTTCAGAAGGCAGTTTTGCTGAGGGAAATATCATTCCCTATCTTTGGAAGTATTCTTTTTCTCTTAATTTATATGACTGGTTCCTGTGAGGATGAGTGCCTGAGAAATCTGTAATGAGTATTGTAACTCCATAGTTGCTCTAATAAAAGTTATATTACAACTCAATACAGGGTGACAGGCATTAATGACACTATCATCAGGAGATAAAGCGATGACGTTAATATGTATCAGAGGAAGTACAAAAAATCATGAGTCTTATTTTCAGTATAGGACTTATGTGTTCCCACAAATTGCCCTGTAAATACCCACACCTTCACCTGGAAATTCTAGCTACTGAACTATCTCTAATGAGGCAACATTTTCTTTGAGGAAGGCCAAATATTTGTAGACTTTGTCAAAGAAGTGTATTAAGGAGGGGCGTGGAGAAGGGGGTGGACGCATGGGATTTCAGGTCAGGGACGGAGTTTCGTGCATAGGTGGCTGAATGGCAGAAGACTTTATGGACAAGAGTTGGAGGAGGAAAAACAGATGGGCTGGGGGGAGGTTAATGGGCAGGTGGGGGACCCCAAAACCATCACTACATAGTAACCACCTCAGGATTTATGCAGCACTGATTTTCCATAAGTATTGTAATTTGGTCATTAGCATTGTAGAATTAGTCACAGCGGCCCATTTCCTCATCTGGTGCAAAATGGAATCACCCCATTGACTCCAGTGAAGCTACACTGACTTGTACAAGCTGAGGATCTGGCCCTATTTTCTACTTTGCAATTTTAATAGAAAAGCTGTAAGTTAGTTACAGTTTCAAAACCCTGAACCGCCTACTTAGCATCCCTTCAATGAACCCTGCTGACTACTTCAGTGACGCACGTCAGCAACATTAAAATGTGTGGTGGTGGATGAAATTTGATTAAAACATGCAAAGGAGGCAGTGTGATGGTGGATTAAAATGTGTTCCTCTGCTGCAGCTAATGTTATGCTTCGTGCACAGCTCAAGAGGTCACAGGCAGCTGATGAGTGTGAGCCAGCCTGGGGTTTGTCGCTACGGTTCTAAGCTCGAGTGCTGCTATGGCTGGAGAAAGAACAAAGGGCATTGCGAAGGTAACATTAGCAAATAACCATTGACATCTTCATGACTGTGTGCTTAGCTTTTAATAATGTGGCTCCTTATGGGCCCACCAGAGGTTATAGGAAGCCGAACAAGTGAGGATTCAATATACTGTAGGAGCATGAAGCAAATAAGTGTTTTTTAGAGAGCGTCCCTTTAAAAATGCAGAATTGGATAAACAGAAGCACCCAGTAAAATAGCTTTATAACTTTAACGCCAGAAGGGACCATTAGGATTACCTGGCCTGACCTTTTGCATAACACCGAAAGATGAGAATTGGAGAATGCCTGTACCAAGATAGCCATCGAAAATTAGAACAAGATCCAAAAAATCAGAAATGCAGACTGTAATCACTAAAACTATATTTACAGACAGATGCTTTTCATTAAGTAGCAGCCTTTATCTTCAGATTCTCTGGGAAGCAATAGTTTCCACCCTTCTAAAAAGAGAATAAAATTCAAGCAACAAGTCCATCCAAATAGAACTTATGTTGCCAGCCAGTATTCTGGTCCCTGGGGAGCTGGTTTCATGAAGGATCAATGGCTTTTAAGAGGCTTCCAATCTGTTAAGGGCATACAAATGCTAGGAAGAGGGTAATATGAAATCTCTCCCCAGCTGTATTTAGGCAAAGCACAATGAACTCATAAAATGCCAGACTTTAGGAGGAGTCAATTTCTTAGCTCCTCCATCTGCTATGCTGATAAACTTAGCGCTGACTATCTGTCGAAATTTAATAAAGGTTCCGTGTATAATTGGTAAAAATCAGTAGACTGCCATCTAAAAGGGACTGATGCCCAAAAACCTTTTCTCCTTATAATTGTATTAATATGCTTTTCAGATAGCAATGCTAGTTTTAAAAAAAAAAACTTGAGCAAAGGGATTCCTTAATAATTTTGCATTGTTTGTATAACTCAAGTTCTGGTACTAAAAGAATACACAGAGGTAAATATGGCAATAAGCAAAAGTAATTTGGATGAGCAAATGCAACTAGTCACTTTTTTCCCCAAAAAGCATTCAGATGACCTCCTATTGGTGTCCAGTTTTGACAAGTTCTTGAAATTCTTCACCTGGCAGATTTCTGGTTTGAGTCAACCAGGATGTCAATCTAAACTGTAAATAAAGATGCAGTAGCTCCTCACTCCCGGTGAGGATTTTTTTTTTATACTCATTTGATTTCACAGTGTGCAACTTTTCATTCAGGGTTTATGTCAGTTTAGGTACGGTGAAATTCTTCATTAATTTGAGGTACGAGGTGATTTAAATGCAAAGGATTAATACATTTAATAAATGTTTAACAAATTTTTAAAGAACTTAAAAAAGAGACCAAAATTCCATTGTGCTAATTCTGGCAAATTCTAAATTGTGGCTTTCCTATGTGCTTTAACTGGTAATAAAGGTACACAAGAGAATTGGGACAAGATCCTATAAACTTTGTGCACATCTCCAGGGCTCCTAGGTGCTATGGTAATGCAAATAACCAACAGCAACAATATCCCACTGACTTCAGCAGGAGTTACTTGTATCTATGCATTGCACAATTAGGTCTTCAATTTAAAAAAGAAAATGTGTCATACTGGAGAATATCTGCTTTTGTAAAATATTTTAGGGTCTCATGTTCAAGATACAATGCTCTGATTCTCGATTACTAAATACCATTTTATGAGCTCCTCTGGAAAATAAAATAACAGCTCTGTAGCAGGGTAAGAAACTTGTAAAGCACTGGGGAAATAGGTGTTTCACAACGGACTTGTAACAAATCAGTTAAGTCCTGAATTACCAAACAAAAATCCACATTCCCCCAGACTACTCATAACCACTGTTCTGAGCACCAGTGCTAGTTTAGGTCAAATTTTTCAAACTTGGGTGTCCAAAGTTAGGCATCTAAATCTTACTTAGGCCCTTAAGTAGTCTGGTGCTCAAAACCTCCAGGGGGGAAAAAAACAAGGTATTTATTTAGGCGTCTAGACAAGAATTTAGGTGCCTAACATTGAACACACATTTGAAATTTTTGCTCTTATTTTCTATTGCTTTAGCAAAAAGGGAGATTGGAGAGATCTAGATCTTGAACAGCAAAAGCTGACATTCTTACAACCCACTAGCTCATGGATACCAAAAATGTTAAGATGTCAGTTTTCCAGTTCTGCAGTGCTTAGTGGTGTACAATATTGGATGCACTGAAAATTAAGCCATAATGGTTAGTGAAATATTAAACAGTTAAAAGTCTGGGTATATTTTAAAGTACTGGTTCATTAAGTCTTTTGCATGCTGTGTAGCACTTACTGATGTTAGTAATCACACTGAATTTCTTGCTCATGTGAGCAGGTTTTTTAAAGAAGTGCCAAGCCCTCAGAACAATTTGGAAGTAGTAGAAAGAAGGGCACCCACCTACTGGCTAATAATGTTCTGGGTTGTGAATTAAAAAGCTTAAACTCATAAATGTTCAGGCTTAACAGGTGGAAGAGGTATCATAATTTATAATCGGCTCTAGTGCGCTTCATGTTTCTCCCAAAAGAAACCGCTTCCGAGCAAAAGATATAAAGCACAACCTAGTAACCACCATACACAAGCCAGAGGCAAGGTTATAGATAAAGGTGAGGCTAGAATCCAGAGGTGAATCTAGCAAGTAGGTTGGGGGCACTGAATTAGGTAGGCAATATTTCACCTTGAACAGGACAAAGCAAAGGTTTTTGGTTTTATTTTTACACCTGCACCCCCACACAGGGAGAGAGTACTTAGAGTATGGACTAGATATGCTCCTGAGTCTCTGATGGCTCTACAGTCACTCACTCACTCACTCGCTCTCCTACCTGGGAGCTTCGATGAAGTTCCTGGCAGGAGTTCGAGCTATTTGGCCTGACCTTCCTTAGAGTGAGTCAACCTTGTGTGGAGGACCTTGCTGATGGAAGGAGTAATTTTAAATTCCCCCCTGCCAGTAAATCTAGCCAAATTGTTTGGTATTCTTTTAAAAGAAAAATGTAACCCTCAGCGTGGGATGGGACATACAACTGCCCAGTCCAAAAACATAATAAAGCATTTAGTTAGTAATTTAGAATCCAGGCCTAAATTTTTGCTCTCTTTGCATACCAGGATGCACAAGTGTATTTGAAGCTGTCTTGACATGATTAGTTTCTCCAGTATGCTCATACTATATGGGAAGACTTTAAATACTGTGTGTGCTTTACCATTAGATGTTAAACATCTTACTACTGCATACAGAAAGATATTGTGCTACATGGGCATTGTGTCAGACAGTCACTGCAATTCTCGGGTGGCATGTCAGACCCCGTAATTAGAAAATGTTCAGACACATCAGAACAATTCTGTGCCAATTCAATCTTTATGTAATCTGATTTCCAAGGGAACTGCATGGGGTCTAAATCAATTGGCAGAGAGTCTGACTCTGCTTATCTACAGTAACCTGAAGCTGCTCTAGAATGGCTTAGAAAAGAAGACAATTCAGCAGTATTCTATAGAGATAAAGCCTCTCTGGAGAAGTTCATAAGTGGAACTCCAGAGTGGGTAGAAAAAGGAAGGAAGAGGCATGGACAAAGGACAGTGAGGGGGAATTCAGAGGAAAAGGGAGAAAAGCTCAGACCTCTGCCTTATGAATAATAGACATTACAACTGACTCTTGGGTTTTAAAATGCTAAATATATCTCTAATACAGCACTTCCGAACACATGATAATGAACGAATGTAGATGAGTTTGAGACTTTTTTTGAGAGATGCACATTTTAGTTCCAGATTTCTAAGCTTCTAACAGCCTTACATATTTCCATTCACCTGCTCCCCCACAGCAAGTAAACTCTTTGAATGGATGAGCAGAAACATGTACTGTGATGTAGCAGAACCCTGGCAGCTGCCTTAGACTACAGCTCTATTCTTCCAGTGGCTCCACGCTCTCCTACGGTCAAGCTCCATTGTGCTGAGGGACAGGGAAAGTGCTAAAGAGGAAATTGATGCAGCCTCTTACTGATGCAACCCCATTTTTGGCAGGGGGAAAGAAAGTGAGGAGATTGTTCTGGAGGGTACGAAGGAAGAAAGCTATGAGATTCCTTTCAGTGCATACAGCTCTTTGTAAGCCAATGGCAGTACCATCTCCCCTTCCTTTCCCTTCAGCCCCAAAGCCCTGCCAACCTCTTCTGCCTGCAACGCTACTCTCTTCTGCTCCACATCAGTGCCACATTTCTTCTTTTCCCTCCCATGCTCATGCTTAGCCAGTATCTTCCTCCTGCTCCCCACTCAACAAAAATTTACCAGTGCAGACAGAGCAAGCTATCTGTGCTGCCTTGAGTTTTGTCCTGTTCAATTAAAATGTCCTCTGGGTAACATGGAGTGATGCAGATTAAATACTTTGACAACTTTTAGTTCACACTAGGTTCTCTTGTAATGCAGAAATGTCTCTACCTTCTAGCAACAACACCTTTAATTTCTCTCTGTTTTGCCCTCCAGCCACCTGTGAACATGGGTGCAAGTATGGCGAGTGTGTGGGGCCAAACAAATGCAAATGTTTTCCTGGATTTACAGGGAAAACCTGCAGTCAAGGTTTGTACACATTATAGTTATTCTCCAAAAAAGAGACTTTGATCATTGACAGTCTGTCTCCTTGTCTTCAGCTCCCTATGGAAAAGTGTGTGTGTGGGAGGGGAAATCTCAGCCATTTGTTTGCAGCTACAACTTTAACTGACTTAGGAATTCTGAATTGTCATGGATGATTAAAGGATAAATATGGAAACTAAAACAGGTAATAGTCTTCAGTAAAAACATTCTACTTACCTGTTCCCTCAACAAGCATCTTTCTTCTAGATACTGTACTTATCTATAGTACTTACATGGCCCCCATCGCTCTAGTATCTGAGTGCCTCACAATCTTTCATGTATTTTTACTGACGGTACTCTTGTAAGACAGGGCAGTGCCATTAGCTCCATTGTACAGAGGGGGAACTGAGGCACAGAGCAGCTAAGTGACTTGCCCAAGGTATGTCAGGACAGCTGTGGCAGAGCAAGGAATTGGACCTAGGGGTTTCCCAGGTCCTAGGCTAGTGCCCAAGCCATTGAACCATACTTGTTCTTCAGTATCTTTACAGTATATAAAATCCACTTAAAGTGCAAGTGTTCAGTGTTCTGAACCCCTCCTGTACATTTCCTTTCTTCTGCTCATGCAGCCAGGATTTGGGGTGTATGTTGTTGGCTGTCCTATATTTTTGCTCAGAATATCGGATGTATGCAAACAGTTTTTGTATTGTTTATAGTTAGGGTTGCCAGGCATCCAGTTTTCGACCAGAATGCCCGGTCAAAAAGGGACCCTGGCAGCTTTGGTCGGCACTGCTGACGGGGCCATTAAAAGTCTGGTCAGCATGCAGAGGGGGTCTGGGGATAAAGCAAGCTCCCTGTGGCTCCCGGAAGCAGCCCTGAGGTGCATGGGAAGCCAGAGAGGCTCCATGTGTCCCCACCCCAAGCGTTGGCTCCGCAGCTCCCATTGGCCAGGAACCACGGCCAATGGGAACCGCGAGGGTGGGTACAAGGGCAGCACGTGGAGCCTCCCTGGCCGCCCATGCACCTAGGGGCTGCAGGGACCTGGCGGCCACTTCCTGGGAGTCACAGTAAGCACTTCTGGGACCCCACACACCCCCTGCCGCAGTCCTGAGCCCCCTCCTGAACCCCAAATCTCTCATCCCCAGCCCCACACTCAGAGCCTG